ACACTGGCCATATCCGGGTCCGCATCGTGCCATCTTATTGGTCGCTTGCAAGGATCACCGGACAAATTACCTTGCCATCCAGGACATGGGCCTGTTGGTGGCATTCAATCGACGGAATTCATGTACCCGGAAATGGGATAATAGGAGTGGCGCTATAATGACCTCCCTTTGTGGGATCAGGCCCTGCAGCGTTCAAGGGCAGAAGGTGGATCGCTGCTTTGGGACAATTTGCATAGTAAAACTACCAATGGAATGCGGGTGCATGGGGAGGATAATCGCATGAAGAAGAGAACGACTCAACTCCAACAAATACCTGGGCTTCTATCCAAAAGCTCGCAGAGCTGGGCGTGGTGTAAATGAGATTGCCCACAAATGAAACCCGGATGCATTGCTTGGATCTCCAAAAAGGTCCCGCAAGGCCTGCGGACCAGGATGGTTGGAACATGGTAGGGGGGAAACTGCCTCATCAATGGCAGTGGCCTTGTGCGGGATTGCCACGATGTGCAACACTGCAAACATGTAGAACCCCATGACGTGTGCATCAGAGGCTCCATACCTGAACGGGGCTGGTGAATCTGACATTGAAGGGACGGTGCCAGCCCGAGATGTGCACCTCCCGAACTCTGTAGGTTCTCCCACCAAGCCCGAGGCTGCGACCACACTTGATGGCCGTCGACTTTGAGTGCCAATCAGCAATTTCTGAAAGATTGAGTCCGTTAGCATGAAGAAACTTGAGAAGTCGAGACGTGTCAGGCGCCGAGAGGCCGCTACCTCTGTTACAAGCCATAAGGAGGAGATAAAACTCCAGGGCGGTATCAAAGGACAGGGCGGTATCTCGCCACTCCCCTTGCTCTCGCTGTCGCTCAACTTGTTAGACTCGCTACCCTCAGCAGAGCGTGAGCTGGTTTGTCTGGTAGACAGTGTTAGAAATAGACTGCAAATACCACTTTTGTATTTGTACTTTTATATCCTAGTTTAGGTTATGAATATTCTAGTGGGTTGGGGTGTACTCACAAATCCCAACCTCACCCAATTGTGATCCCCCCAATCTCCAATTACCCAATTGGAGATTCCGGAGATCCCAATGGGGATTCTCTCTAATTCCCCCTTCATCCATTCACTCTCACCTTGCCATGTACTTATAGAGCCTTGGGCTCCTTACCTAATCAATCATTTCAACTCTATTTCTCACATGGTATCAGAGCGACCTATCCGCACACGCGGATCAAGGTCCTAATGTCAACGTGCCCGCGCTACGCGCACTTCATCGTCGCGACATTCGTTTCGAGTCGTCGGAATTTCGACGTGCTCCACTCTGCAATCGCGCCTCTCATCGTCGACCGCCTTCGCGCTCGACCTCGTTGAATTTCTCATCTCTGAAGCGTTCACGCTTCTCATCGTCGATTTCCTCCTCGGTTCTCCTTGGTCGAATATCAAATTCGACCATCTCTTAAAACTCGTTCTCGAGTTTCCCCTCAGACCCCGCCAGAATAGGCGAACTCCCCTCGCGAAATCGCCTCCACGAACGTCTCGCGTCAAGCAAGAGCAGGTACACAGGTTGAAGCGGAGCGGAGCTGGTTGCGGAGCTGGTTGCGGAGCTGGTTGCGGAGCTGGTTGCGGAGCTGGTTGCAGAGCTGGTTGCGGAGCTGTGTAGCTGCGGGACAGGGCCTGGGGGTGTGTGGGGGGGTGTGTGGGTCCGGGGTTAGACATAGGCTCAGATTCCGTTTCAAGTCGTTCAACGAATTTTCGCCGACGCCATTTCCTACTTAGCGGCATTTTGATAAAGCCGTCAGAGTGATTTTCAGCAATTCTCGTCGACCAATTTCCAGAAGTGCCGCGCTGCACACCGACAATGGCTTACTCAACCACTTTACTCGCCAACCTGATCCCGCTCCTTCGTCTCGAGCTGGACGGCACATGCTCCAACTACAAGGCTTGGCGCTATGGTGTCGACAAGCACCTCCTCAGTCGCGAGGTGAAGGGGCTCGAGCTCACCGACGTCCTTCTCAACATCGGTGACGGCAAAGAGCCTCCTAAACCCGAGAGGTCCGCCGATCCAGCTAATGCCGCCGCCGAAGCAGTTTATGCTGCTGCACTGCTCAAGTACAAGAATTGGGAGAAGGCCGATGGTGCGGTCATTAGTGTCTTCATGGGTGTAAGAAATAGAGTTGAAATGATTAATTAGGAAAGGAGCCCAAGGCTCTATAAGTACATAGCAAGGTGAGAGTGAATGGATGAAGGGGGAATTGGAGGGAATCCCCATTGGGATCTCCGGAATCTCCAATTGGGTAATTGGAGATTGGGGGGATCACAATTGGGTGAGGTTGGGATTTGTGAGTACACCCCAACCCACTAGAATATTCATAACCTAAACTAGGATATAAAAGTACAAATACAAAAGTGGTATTTGCAGTCTATATCTAACACTGTCTACCAGACAAACCAGCTCACGCTCTGCTGAGGGTAGCGAGTCTAACAAGTTGAGCGACAGCGAGAGCAAGGGGAGTGGCGAGATACCGCCCTGTCCTTTGATACCGCCCTGGAGTTTTATCTTCATGGCGAGATACCGCCCTGTCATTAGTGTCTTCATGGGCACCACTCCTCCCGAACTCGTCGAAACCTACCACAACTTATCGTCTGCCAACGCCATTTGGCTCTACCTCGAAGATCGCTTCCTGAACAAGACTGCAGTGGGAGTTGCTATACTCATCCCCAGCATGTTCCAAGTGCGGCTCGAGGACTCGCCAGGCATGGCGGACTATGTCACCAGGGTGCAGTCCATTCATGGTGAACTCAAACAGTTGGGGATAGTCTTCCCCGAGCAAGCCCCTGCAGCCGCTCTCCTAGTCGGCCTCACTCCGGCATACGAAGTCACACGCAAGATGCTCTTGGGCCTTGCTCCTGCAGACCTCACATTTGCCAAGGTCTCATCCGCGCTCCTTTCTGCCGAAAAGGACAACAGCGCTCAAGCCAAGGCCAATGCAATCCGCGCTCCCGTGCCTCAAGCCTATGCCGCTTCGGTGCCATTCCAGCGCAACCGCTTCCCCCCGTGTCCCTACATCATCAAGCGCGGTGTGTGGCGGCACCAACCACGCCCTTGCCTCCTGCTTTAAGAAGAAGGATGACGAGTGGTATGCCGTCAATGGGACCGCCTCCAAGCCGCCAAGCTGGATGGTCAATCGTGCTCCTCGCCAAGTCAATCAAGTCGAAGGGCAGGAATCCGTGCAGGCTGCTGTGGCTGCACCTGCTGATGTGCGCCTCAACATGTTGTTCCCTGGCACTGCCATGATTAATGAGACGATTTCGCAGTATCCTGGCTCACAAAGCACCTCAGCCACAATAGAGTTCACCCTCGACAGTGGGGCCACTCACATGGTTCTCAAGGAAGAACACTCCTTCAAGCCATACGAGATACCAATCCGTCTACTTGGAGCAGACTCCAGTTTCACAACACACGCCAAGGGCTCCTCCACAGTTCCGTGCCCAGCTTTTCCTTCGGGCAGTGTGACCGGCATGTGTGTTCCCACACTACGCCACAATCTCGTGGCCCAACACGAGCTCCAACGGGCAGGCGTCACCACGATCTTCCTAGCACACTCAGATCACTGTGACCTCCTCGACCCTAAGTCCAACAAGCTCCTAGCACGCTTCACACTCAACAGCAGCAAGCTCTATACGCTGCGTTCACCTGCACCTCTCGCCGCCCTCTCCCAAGCGCAAGCTGCCAGCACCACTCCGTGTTCGTGTCGCAGCTTCGCCAACCCAACCATTCTCTACCACCATCGCTTGGGTCACCCCAACTTCCGTACACTTGCCGACATCGCTTCCAAGAAACTTCTTCTTGGCCTCCCGTCGGCGCTTCCTCCACCAACAGACTCACCTGCACCCACCTGCCTGGACTGCACCAAGAGCAAGCTCAGGCAGCAGCCGCACCCTTCCTCCCCATCCGTCGCAGCTGCTCCGCTGGACCTAGTGCACATGGATGTCTGGGGCCCAGCTCCAGTCGCATCCCGAGGCGGTCATCGGTACTTTCTTACACTAGTCGATGACCACTCGCGGTATGTTTCTGTGCACCTCCTGCATACCAAGGCGGAGGCACCTGATGTCATCATGGCGTGGGTGCGCTAGGCTCAAGTCACGTTCGGCACTCCTCTGAAGTGCCTCCATTCTGATGGCGGGGGAGAATTTCGCAATGGCAAACTCGATAACTTCTGTACGGCCCAAGGGATTCGGCAAACCTTCACGCTCCCCGAAAGCCCGCAGCAGAATGGCATTGCAGAGAGCTGCAACCACACCTTGGTTCAGATTGCTCGCTGCCTCCTCAGTCACGCCAACGCACCACGGTCACTCTGGGGATATGCCCTCTTCCATGCGGCACTCCTCTACAATCTTTATCCGCATCCCCACCGGCCCGACACCACACCCACCGCTCTCTGGCTTGGGGTCACGCCTTCCGCCCGCTCTCTACGCGTCTGGGGGTGTACCGCGTATGTGTTGCTAAGCCCCCACACGCGCAGGAAGCAAGGTGGCAAGCTTGGCCCCAAAACCCAGACCTGCATGTACCTGGGGCACAACTCCGACTCCCCACACTACATATTCCTCAACCCAATCACCAGACAGCTGATTCGCAGCCGTGATGTCGTCTTCGATGAGACACGCCCATTCCACTCTGCGACCACGGGCGAGCCTCCTCCACCTCCCCCGACGCTTGTTTGGGCAGACTTCGATGCCCCACCTCCGGCCGCTGCCCCTTCTCCGGGGCCTTCTCCGTCCGGCGTGTCTCACCCGGCCTCCCCAGTATCCTCCGCAGCGGCACCTCCTCCTGCTCCGCCTTCCCCGCGCGTCGAGCCCGGCTCACCAGTCTCCTATCGGAGGCGCCCAGTCCCTCCGGTCCCACCGCAGCCGCCTTCGTCTCCGGTCTCTAGTCGCACTTGTTCCAATGGACCGGCTCCGCCTCTCGCCTGGGGACCAGCCGCCTTCTCCATCCGGTGTTCGGTCACCCCGCCTCCTCCTGCCGGGGGTGATGTCCCCTCCATCCGTATTCCCCCCCGTGCACTTTTGGAGGACAGGCATGAGGAGCTGTTTGACCTTCACGCGGTCTGCCAATTTCTCTCTCACATCTTCCCGGACATTACTGACTGCCCTTCCCTCAACTTCACCGAGAACCCGACCATTCCGACTCCTCGCACAAAAGAGGAAGCTCTCTCGGGGCCTTATAAGAAGGAGTGGAAGGCAGCAATGGATGTGGAGAACGAGGCGTTCATTCGCAACAACAGCTTTGACGATGTTGTTCCCTCTTCCGGTGTCAACATCGTCGGCGGAAAATGGATCTTCCGAGTCAAACAACTCCCAGGCGAAGCTCCACTGTTCAAGGCACGATACGTGGCAAAGGGTTTCACCCAGAACGAGTATCTCGACTTCTTCGAAACCTTCTCGCCCACGGCCAAGCTCCCGACTGTGCGCGGTCTTCTCGATATAGCCGCTCGCGGCAACTTCGAGATCAAGTCCATGGACGCCTCCTCCGCCTTTCTCCAAGGCCAGCTCAAGGAGGATGTTCACATGGAACGCCCACCGGGGTTTCCTGGCACTTACCCTGCCAAGACAGTGTGGAAGCTGAAGCGCCCAGTGTATGGCCTCAAGCAGGCTCCTCGTGAGTGGCACAACAAGGTGAAGGAAGTCCTCCTCGCACTTGACTTCCATCCCTCTGCCTCAGATTCCAGTCTCTTCGTTCGTCACTCCTCCGAGCCCTTCTACATTCTCGTCTACGTCGACGACTTCATTCTAGCCGCCAGAGATCCAGCCGATATGGCAGCTGTCCAGTCTGCTCTCAGCTCCGCCCTTCTCATGAAGGATCTTGGTGACTTCAAGAACTACCTGGGAATGGAGATCACTCGTGACCGCCAGGCTTGCAGGATCACCCTCTCCCAGGAGTCCTACATCGACAACCTTCTCAAGCGGTTCGACATGGACTCCAGTAACTCTGTCTCCACTCCACTCCCACTACAGCATCAGCTCACGGCCCCTCCAGTTCCTTCTCCTGACGCCTGCAAGGACCCATACCCTGAGGTAGTCGGTTCACTCATGTATGCCATGATGTGCACTCGACCAGACTTGGCTTACCCGGTTAGTGTCCTCTCTCGGTACGTCTCCCCCGGACGCTACACTGCCTCACATTGGTCTGCAGTCAAGAGGGTCCTCCGCTATCTACAAGCCACCAAGTCTCACATCCTCACTCTTGGTGGTACCTCTCCAGTCAAGCTCGAGGGATACACAGACTCCTTATGGGCCGATGACCAGACTGACAGACGCTCCTCCCAAGGGTACTGCTTCACCCTTGGTAGCGGAGTTATCAGCTGGCGCTCCACTCGGTCCTCTGCAGTCTCCCTGTCGTCCTGCGAGGCCGAGCTCTACGCAGGCACAATGGCTGCTCAAGAGGCACGCTGGCTCTCCTTTCTCCTCGCTGAGTTAGGCTACCCCCAGCAGTCGCCCACCCTGTGGTGTGACAACCAGAGTGCCATTCACCTCACCAAGGATCCTGTGTTCCACTCTCGCACCAAGCACATCGAACTTCGTCATTTCTTCATCCGAGATCTTGTTCAGAGTGACCAGCTGACGGTACGGTACATCGCCTCAGATTGCAACCTCGCCGACCTCTTTACCAAGGCTCTCGGCAAGGCTGACCACCATCGCCTTCTCCGTTCCATGGGGCTATGTGCTCCTTGATCGGGTTTGCAGTCTATGGGGGTGTGTTAGAAATAGACTGCAAATACCACTTTTGTATTTGTACTTTTATATCCTAGTTTAGGTTATGAATATTCTAGTGGGTTGGGGTGTACTCACAAATCCCAACCTCACCCAATTGTGATCCCCCCAATCTCCAATTACCCAATTGGAGATTCCGGAGATCCCAATTGGGATTCCCTCCAATTCCCCCTTCATCCATTCACTCTCACCTTGCCATGTACTTATAGAGCCTTGGGCTCCTTACCTCATCAATCATTTCAACTCTATTTCTTACAGACGGCTGCGCGGGAGGGCTTTCGGTGCTTAGATGAAGCGGGGGGCGGGATTGCCGTGCACTGGCAGTGCAGGTGGAGTCTACAAAAGTAGCGTACGACCCTACAAAAATACCCAATCTGTAGCTGTGTTCCTTAGCTAGTCGGCTGTCCTCATCAGTAGACGTGTGCGACCTTAGCGCGCCACAACCGTGAAACAAACAGCCGCACCATTCACACAGGACTGTGTGGCGTTTCATGCTTCCAAGTTGCGTTGCACGAGGTTGCAGGCTAACGCGCGTCAGAGAACTATGCGTGGCAAGCAAGGTGAGACAATTCACTATTGAAAAACACAACAGACAGATTCGCGACACCTCCATGGCTGAGAACAAGATCCTAACTAAACCGTCATCTATTGGTATAGCATTGTGTGGATTTCGAGTAACAAGCTAAGGGATCGCGAGTATGTAGAACACATACTCTTGTTTCCGCGTGTATCTGGTCTTCCGTATTGAGAGGACTCGGGCTGATGGCATGAAGGGAATCTCTGGTGCAGCCAACGTGGGTAGTCACCCCACTTGTTTGTCCATTACACGGACATTTTGAAATGGGGTAACACCAAGATTGGAACCTCAACAATGGACGCGAGCCCGGCAGCGACTCAACTTTACAGAACATCAAGTGGACGAACCATAATTTCCAGAGGCATAGGGCAATGTGGAGGGGAATCCACACTGCGCCTATCGACATATATTACGGGAACCTTCTAGATCCAGTACGCCTCCGGCGACACCTAGAACTGTTACTCGTTTCCTGAGCAGCGACGTTCTTGCATTTACCGTAGCATGTGCAAAGAACCTAGTGACCTGGATCGAATGCGTCAAACCACAGCGTCAAAACCCTACCTTCCCTAGACAGAATGTAAGGCTATTGTGCCAGAATGTAAGGCGATTTGAGTAACACGTAGCTCTGCATTTTTCAAATTTGCGGGTAACACAGCTACCCCAACACCACAGCACATTGGGTGGAGTGGAAAACAACAGTAGGTGCTGTTCACACACCTTGCTTTTTTTCGCCGACAAGTTGTAAGTGATCCAATCTGACTTGTGGTGACGCCAGTAACACGATACTTCGTGTCATGTGTTCGTGGTTACAGCCTTATTTCGTCCAGCCAAGCCTGGTCATCACATGCAGGTGCCGAAATCCATGTTACAGCGTAGCTTTTTGTTGACGTGCTTCGCCACATAACCAGAAAGCACTATACACACATCGTGAGCACGCGTCGGCTATTACAAAATCACAGCAAGGTCTCCCAGCACCTCGGGCACCAATTTCACCCCCCCCCCCCATTTCAGATGGATATCAGCTTTGTGGATTTTGCACATTCGCAATAACGTAGCTGCTAGGTCAGCATATTCAATAAGACACAGATAACGAAGCTATGGCTGATGCAGGAAAGCACAAGCGGGGGTCCGAGTCAAACTCCCAAACAACTGGGACGATACTTTGGCAGACATTCGTCTGCAGGCATAGAAGGATAACGGCACTATTGATGCAGCGAGAGTTTTTGAGTTGCCATGCTCACAAAGTGGAATCAACACCCATGCTTCTTTTGAATGCACTTCAGCCTTTCAGCGTCTCTGACATTGGAAGTTTGTCAGAGAAACGTGCTCGCTGTGAAACTAATGCAAGTAGAATACGCAGGAGGCAAGGGCATGCTTACTTGGATTTCATAGACAAGCAAATCATAAATGCCTTGTACACTAAAGGGCCCGAGGGCAGTGCAAAAACCGATGTTGCTCGATTCATGGCAAGCATAGAGGATTTCCGGTCGGTCAACTTCGATGCGACCACCTGGGACAATCTCGTAAAACCGACGCGACATGATGGTGATTTCCGTGATTTTCTCTTGCTCTTTGCCCACGCAGATGGATATGTGGTAAGTAAGCTCCAGCATATTCAGCTGTTTCTGAGATATCTTACTTCCATATCTCAAGCGTTTGTGGACCACTGTTCAGGTCGAAGGTGGTGATTATGATCACAATGGAGTGATGATGTGGCCTATCTTCCCGCTGCAAAAGAACACCGCTGGACTCGCAACGTTCCATGCCCCTGCACCTACCTGTAAGCACAAATGGTATTCTCTTGTAGGTTCTTTGTCATATGGGCTCACTAACCTCAGATAACACTTCTTGTTCCCTTTCACAGAGACGGGCTTGTGGGGCCGGATGGTTACGGCATCCCTTTAGGCGCACTTGCACATGCGCTGGGCCTACTCGTTCCATGCGAAGCCAAGCCGACCCCACAATCACTTCACCCTGTTCCTGGCAAACCCAACGCAGTATATTGCATATCTGCCCCCCCCGAGATCCCGTGTCTCAAGCAGCAATCGTTTCATATGAATGGATTCGACACCTACTCATTGGATGATGAGTTCATTCCACCTTCCAAAAGTCAGCCCCTGGGCTTTAGGAAGGTTACGCCAACACGTAGATGGTATTAGGTTTATAAAAAAGGCTGCATAACCTTCACATTGCCTTTTGTTGCAGGGAGTGTTTTTTGAGTGACCTTTGTAATATAATGTAGACTTTTTGAATAACCCCACGTTTGCTGGAATTTGATACCATTTCCCATCTGCCATGTGTCAAACCTGGTTGACCACGTAGGCAGCACATGATCCGGTTTGTTTAGCACATTACAGCACATGCTGCCATGTCAAATGGACGTGGGCTGGCTTCATATGCCATGGAACAGTTGCCCCAGATGATTATCAGCTGACTCTACTCGGCTGGCTTGGCACCAGGAATGTGACCACTGTCCAGCAGGGCATATGTAGGTTTCTTGGATTGCAAACCAGTCTTGCTGTTTCTGAACGCACTCCTCAAGTGCGTTCTTGAATGGCACCCACCTCTCTACGTTTTTAGGCTCATCACTTGTTCATTCTTGCATGTCACATCCCTCCTGTGTTTGTAAGCGCTGTGTTAGTGCTTCCTTGCTTTCTTGATTAGCTCGCCAATCTGAAGGTGTTTATGATACAGACATCAACCTTCTAACTTCTATCACGACTCAACCTCGCTAGCTCGTTAGATTGCGCAACCCCTTATCCCTCTTTATAGGTGCAGCCCGCATACTTTCCCGTGTAGACCGCCTAGGCTTGCAACTCCTCTGGGCGAGAGGCTCTGGCCGGGCTGGCTGTTCAGCATCATGTCCTCATCACGGCAATCACCACAGCTAGGAGCTGGCCGTTCCACAATGTGGGGTGACTACAAGGTCTATGAGTTGCCATCAAGCGGGCACGCTGTACGCATCGAGCATGCAGGAGCAGCAGTTTTGTCAGGGAGCTTTCATGGAAGGGAGTCAGGCTACATGTCGTTCACAAGTGAACTCGAAGGGCACGGCATGGCATCAGAAGACGAGATAGACACAATGGGGGATGATGATGACAAGTTGACGGCGGGTAAGTGAGCAGGGTACACGCGTTGGAGTGGGACGGCGAGGGTTGAGGGGGAGAGGGAGGGTGGGATGTGTAGGGGGGAGGGCGGAGGGGGGGGGGGGGGGGTGGGGGGGGGATGGGCAGAGTTTTTTTGAACTCCCTGAGGGGGTTCGTGTGTAAGTATATAAAATATATGCGTCATATTACAGAGCGTTGTCCCGTACTGTACAAGCTGTGGTATGGGGTGTTGTGACTTGCACACTAGCTGCCCCCCTCTCAGCATGCCTCCCTTGGCCCCCGTGTTCTTTTCACCAGGTGGAACACCACCAAGGAATGAGCGTCCTTTGGCTGAGATGACCGCCTGCACCGCACCTCCAGGCACTCCAATACAAACACACTTCACAGGGGACCTGGCAGCGGCAGCGGCAGCGGCAGCGGCAACGGCCGCAAGGGGAAAGCATCATGCAAAACCGAGGAAACAGGAATCGCATAAGCATGCAGCTGCACGTGAACCTGCTCATTCCATGCGTGGTGGCCGTATGCATGTCACTCAGCCCCCGAGCTTCGTGCAACTGCAGCAAGAAAATGAGGCATAAAAAAACGTTTGTGGGAGTCGCAGGCGAGGGCGACCAGAATCGCGGGTCACCATGGTGCGAAGCCACATAGGCATCAGCGCCACAAGGCTCGTGGGCTGTACACCTCACCAACTCAGGGCACATCATCCCGTGCTGATGGTGCAGGCGGGTCATCTCAGCAGCCATTGTATCCCAAATCGTCCACTGCCGACCGCTGTAGCGAGGGGAGTCGATTGTGAGCTGCATCGTCGGGGTGGCACTCATTGGCTTTGGGATGTCAACAGGATGCGCACCGAATAGCCTGACAGGATGGAATCCGCTCTCAAGACCATCCCTGATGTGTACTCTGGATTTAAGGTGTGTAGTTGCGCTACCTCTTCACTCCCGTCTCCACACGTGTGGCTGATGCGAAATATGTGGGTGCAGATTTTGGTGTGCTCTTGCACCTTGCCAACAGCACCTGCCCTCTTGCACATAGCCACCAGCACCTGCCCTCGCGCACATAGCCACCAGCACCTTCCCGCTTGCACCTTACCACCAGCACCTGCCCTATTGCACATAGCCACCAGCACCTGCCATCTTGCATATAGCCACCAGCACCTGCCCTCTTGCACCTTACCATCAGCACCTGCCCTCATGCACCTTCCCACCAGCACCTGCCTTCTTGCACATAGACACCAGCACCTGCCCTCTTGCACCTTACCACCAGGACCTGCCCTCATGCACATAGCCACCATCAGATGCCCTCTTGCACATAGCCAACAGCACCTGCCCTCTTGCACCTTACCGTCCGCACCTGCCCTCTTGCACAAAGCCACCAGCACCTGCCCTCTTGCACCTTACCATCAGCCCCTTCCCTCATGCACCTTCCCACCAGCACCTGCCCTCTTGCACATAGCCACCAGCACCTGCCCTCTTGAACCTTACCACCAGCACCTGCCCTCTTGCACATAGCCACCAGCACCTGCCTTCTTGCACATAGCCACGAGCACCTGCCCTCGTGCACATAGCCACCAGCACCTGCCCTCTTGCACCTTACAATCAGCACCTGCCCTCTTCCACATAGCCACCAGCACCTGCCTTCTTGCACATAGCCACCAGCACCTGCCCTCTTGCACCTTACCATCAGCACCTGCCCTCATGTACCTTCCCACCAGCACCTGCCTGTTGGTGCATATTCGTTTGCACGTCATCCTGTCGTCTGTTCGCATCATTTCGTTGCATGTGTTTTGTGTGCTACGTTGTTTGTGTGGTTTGTTTTGTTTGCATGTCTTTGCATATTCATCTTGTGCTTGTGCAGATGTGCTTGGATTGTACATCAGATCGAGCGCATTCCAACGAGCCAAGAATTGTTGGAATCGGAGCACATATGAAGAAGTTACGAAGAAATGTTTGATGGATTTGTTACAACTCATTGGAAGTCCTTGGCAGCTGCTACACCAAAGTTGGAGAGCCCTAAAACGAGGAGGGACCAGCATGTGTGGGACTTTTGTCCCCACCTTGCAGCTGCAGCACTTGCAGCACTTGGGGTTTGGAGACCAACCTGGCACAGTGTGAATTTTGTCTTGCCAGGCTGGCTGAACCTGAGGATGGGGAGTCAAGACTTTGACTCTTGTCATGTTCTTGACCAAGGGCCTCCAGGGTCCTTCCCTTTCATCCTTCCCTTCCCACCCCACCTTCCAACTATGCTTCAATGCCTTTTCCATCATGTCTCTGAACTTGTAAGCTTCAATCATAGTGACTCTGAGGACTGTCAACTTCTCCTAGGGCAGATTACCCCCCAGTGCGCCAAACGCCATAGCTCACTCGATAAGCTACGGAATCAAGTGATTCAACTTTCAGTGGAAAGCTGACGCTGCAAGCTACAACATATCCGATTTTCAGATCGTTTCATCGATTGGAGTTTTGGATATAGCTTTTCGAAGGTCGCGAGTTTTCTGGGCGTCATAACGAAGTGCTGCAGAAATTTCCAAGAAGCCATTGAATCATCTGCTTATAGCCTTCTCTAACCAACAAGTGGTATCAGAGCCCATTATCACGCATTTGGGACCTAAATTACGATGGGAGATAAGGAGGACTCTGGTGGAGGTGATACTTCAGTCCAAGGAGGCAGCTCAACCCAAGATTCTGGCATTGCAGCGCAAAGGGGAGCGCATACAAGCCAGGGGTCACTGCTTAAGGAGGTGCTGAAGAGCTTCACCATTGAGAAGTTCTCTGGAGATGGCTATGATGATTGGGCATGGAAGATGCAGCTCTACTTTCGACAAATTGGCCTCTTGAAGCTCATGATTGGAACGGAGCCCAGGCCAAAGGAAATGGCAGAGCAAGCGGACTGGGATGAACGTTCATCTGCTGGGTATTATCTACTGTCACAAAGCTTGGAGCTGAACCAGAGGCATCACATCATGCATCTGCTACCGGAAACTGATTGTGGGCCCAAGGCATGGGCAGTGCTCAAGGACCTGCACGCTCCGACATCGGTTGCCGCTTCTCTCATGCTGGATCGGGAGCTGTCCATGCTGCGGTTGAGCGAGAATGAACCTGTGCAGCCCGTTCTGGACAAGATGAGGGAACTCTACGCGAAATTGGCGATTGCGGGCATCACGTACCCTGAGCAGACTAAGTGTCTCAAGATGCTCAGCCTGCTGCCCGAGTCTTGGCTGCAATTTATAAGCGGACTCAGCTTGCCACAAAACCAAAATCAATGGACATTGGAGTGGATTCGCACCAAGATTCTGGAAGAAGATTTTCGTCGCTACACACTGCGCGGAGGTGATGACAGCACCAGCGGCTATGCCATGCAAGGGACATGGAGGGATCGAGGGCGTGGCAATCGCGGTCGCTCTTACTACAGCCAAGGTGGTCGCGGGACTTGGAACCAGCGGGGGCGTGGTGGCGCTGGTGCAAGAGGAAGAGGTGGTCACTCCAACAATGACAACAGTGAACCACGCTTGAGGGGAGAGTGCTGGTATTGCAAGGAAGAAGGGCATCCATGGTTTCGCTGCTCTACCAAGCCCGACTGGTGGACCCCTTGGAACCAATCGCAAAAGGGGAATGGAGGAAAGCAACCACGTGGAGGTGCCAACATGGTAGCTGATCCTGCTGAAGAAACCTCCAAGGATGACAGAGGAATGGGAAATTAGGAGAGGAATGCTGGACAGTTCTACCATGTGTGTGACAAAGATGACAGTGGCACAGCTGTTGCAAGGGCTGGAGAGGAATTGCACCCGCTTGACATGTGGGTCATGGACTCTGGTGCTGCATGGACAATGACACCACGCAAGGATTTGCTGGATGCTGTGCGAGCGCCTCCAATCTCTGAAGTGCGCTCAGCATCCGGACATGCAGTGAAGGTCGCTGGAGTTGGTCGAGCTGCATTCAGAGCACCTGATGGTGGACTGGTTGTGCTGAAGGACGTGTTACTCGTACCGGGGCTGAAGGCCAATCTGATATCGCTGCGCAAGCTAGGCCAGGCCGGAGTCAGCACCACCACCAATGGATCCAAAACATTCAAGGGGCTGCGAGGAGATCGTGTGTTATGGGATTAACACGAAAGCAGAGATGTCTTCAGATCCATGTGGCAGATCCCTGCACTGATATGGGAATCAACAAAGAAGGAGTTGGGAGCAGTAAAGGCGGGATCTGGAGTCCAGGGGGAGTGCAATGCAGTTAGTGCTGCAGGAGTGACGGTTTCTGCAAGGTCGGGGGAGACTGATTGGGAAACCGCACACAGGCATCTAGGGCATGTGGCTATGCCATTGCTGCAGCAACTGCATAAGGAAGAAGCAGTAAAGGGGCTGAAGCTTTCTGGGCAACCAAATGATACCAAGTGCGAGACGTGTCTGCTGAGCAAGTTCACACGGTTCCCCTTTCACGGCGTAGCTGGGAAAAGCAAGGCAGCACTGGAACTGGTGCACATGGACCTGGTAGGACCTTTTCCAGTTCAAGGAAGAAAGGGGGAAAGATACTTCCTAACAATAGTTGATGACTGGAGCCGGCTGATGTGGGCATACCCGTTGAAGCAGAAGGATCATGCTGCCTCAACAATACGAGATGACTGGCTGCCGCTCGTCGAGCGACAATCTGGGCACCCATGCAAGAGCATCAGAACCGACCGAGGTGGAGAGTTTCTAGGAGGAGATCTGACTGCGTGGCTCAAGAAACAAGGCATTGAGCATCAGCTAACGACGTCCTATACCCCTCAGTCAAATGGCGTTGCTGAGAGGGCTAATAGGACCATCCTGGAAACTGCGCGAGCGCTGCTGATCGAATCAGGGCTGGGGAACTCCATGTGGCCTCATGCGGTGAGGCATGCTACAGTGGCAAGGAACCGCGTACTCACAAAGGTAGCTGATGATATGTGGGTGCCGCTGGAGAGGTGGCTTGGAAAGAAGCCTCCAGTGGACATGCTCAGAGTGTTCGGATGCATGGCAGTGGCGCATGTCCCTAAACCGTACAGGACAAAGCTTGGAGCATCTGCACTGTGGTGTGTGCACCTTGGGCTTGCGGCAGAGAGCAAGGGGTGGCTACTCTGGGAGCCCTCAAAGAATGTGCTGTTTGACAGTCGGGATGTCAAATTTGTGGAGAACATCATGTATGGCAAGTGGGAGAAGCAGCCAGAGGCAAGGGTTACCCAGCAGCTGGAAGAGATCACTATGCACTTCGATCTGTCTGAACCTGTGGACAGCGAAGTCACTGCGCCAACGGCAAGCGGTACTGATGAAGGAAGCAATGAGGATATTGCAGCTGATGCTGAAGTCAAGGATCCGGAGCAGCAGCAGCAAGAGGCTTCCAAAACACCAAGTCTGCCAAAGCGAAGGAAACAGATTGGTGGGGGGACAAAGGATTGGGTGAAGGTGAAAGAATGGGTAAATCCAACCATCTACCCTGCACGTACCAGAATGGCAACAAGAAAGCTGCTGAGCTCTACAAGTGAAGGAGCCACAACTGAGCAGCAGGAACAGGCTCAAGGCGAAGATACAGTGCTGTTCTTGGGTGATGACCAAGAGTCAGATGACGAGGAGCCTGCATACTGCTTTTACGCACCAATACAACCTCCGAGCATGGATCATGCGCTAGCCGGGCCTCAACGGGGGAAATGGCTCGTTTCAAGAAATGCAGAGTACAACAGCCAGATGGAGAATCACACATGGGACCTGGTGTACTTGCCAAATGGGAAGAAGGCAATACAGTGCAAGTGGCTGGCAAAAATCAAGACGGATGAGAAAGGAGAGCCATCAGTTTACAAGAGCAGGCTGGTGGCAAAGGGGTTTCAGCAGAAAGAGAAGGAAGATTACAAAGAAGTGTTTGCCCCAACTGCTAAGTCTCCAACGCTACGTGTGCTGCTGGCGGTAGCTGCTGTGCGCAAATGGAAGGTGAAGCAGATGGACATCGTAACCGCTTTTCTGTACGGCATTGTGGAAGAGGAGGTGTACATGGTTCAACCACCTGGCTATGAGGATGGAACCGGTCGTGTCTGCAAACTTAACAAGGCCATCTATGGCTTGAAGCAGGCCCCGAGATGCTGGTACAACAGGCTGGCCAGTGCACTGGAAGGGATTGGATTCCGTGCGAGTGCATGCGACGAGAGCCTATTCCTGATGAGCGAGGGGGAGTCGCTTGTGCTTCTGCTGGTGTACGTGGATGACATCCTGCTCTTCAGCAGCAGTGACAAGGAGATCGATGGGGTGCAGCAGAAGCTCACAGAGCAGTTCAAGTGCAAGTCACTTGGAGAGGCAAGGTACTACCTGGGAATGCACATTGAGCGGGATACTGAACGCGGCTGGCTCAAACTGCATCAGCGACAGTACATCAACACCTTGGCTGAGAAGTACTCTCTGCAGGAAGAACGGGAAGTGGTCACACCTTTGCCTTCCGAGTTCAAACTCATAAAGGCAGCTGAAGGAGAAGGAGTTGAGAGTGAAGACCAGAGGCAATTCCAATCCATGGTCGGGAGCCTACTCTACGCTGCTGTGCATACTCGGCCTGACATCAGCTTTGCTGTGGGACAGCTGGCTCGAGTAGTGCAAAATCCAACAGAAGAGCAGTGTGGTGCAGCGGAGAGAGTGGTGCGCTACCTCAAGTCATACCCTACAGTGGGAGTACAGTATTCAGCCTCTGCTCAACTCAGTCAGAAAGGAGTTGAAGTTCTCAAAGAGAAGGGGGAGCAGCTCGGAGAAGGAAAGGTGTTCCTTTCCTGTTTTGCTGATGCCACATGGGCTTCTGAGCATGAGGATTCATCATCAGTAGGTGGATACATCTGCATGGTGGGAGGTGGGCCTGTAAGTTGGAGGTCCAAGAAGCAGCCTGTAAGTTGGAGGTTCCACTCCTTCTTATAAGGCCCCGAGAGAGCTTCCTCTTTTGTGCGAGGAGTCGGAATGGTCGGGTTCTCGGTGAAGTTGAGGGAAGGGCAGTCAGTAATGTCCGGGAAGATGTGAGAGAGAAATTGGCAGACCGCGTGAAGGTCAAACAGCTCCTCATGCCTGTCCTCCAAAAGTGCACGGGGGGGAATACGGATGGAGGGGACATCACCCCCGGCAGGAGGAGGCGGAATGACCTAACACCGGATGGAGAAGGCGGCTGGTCCCCAGGCGAGAGGCGGAGCCGGTCCCTTGGAACGAGTGCGACTAGAGACCGGAGACGAAGGCGGCTGCGGTGGGACCGGAGGGACTGGGCGCCTCCGATAGGAGACTGGTGAGCCGGGCTCGACGCGCGGGGAAGGCGGAGCAGGAGGAGGTGCCGCTGCGGAGGATACTGGGGAGGCCGGGTGAGATACGCCGGACGGAGAAGGCCCCGGAGAAGGGGCAGCGGTCGGAGGTGGGGCATCGAAGTCTGCCCAAACAAGCGTCGGGGGAGGTGGAGGAGGCTCGCCTGTGGTCGCAGAGTGGAATGGGCGGGTCTCATCGAAGACGACATCACGGCTGCGAATCAGCTGTCTGGTGATTGGGTTGAGGAATATGTAGTCTGGGGAGTCGGAGTTGTGCCCCAGGTACATGCAGGTCTGGGTTTTGGGACCAAGCTTGCCACCTTGCTTCCTGCGCGTGTGGGGGATTAGCAACACATACGCGGTACACCCCCAGACGCGTAGAGAGCGGGCGGAAGGCGTGACCCCAAGCCAGAGAGCGGTAGGTGTGGTGTCGGGCCGGTGGGGATGCGGATAAAGATTGTAGAGGAGTGCCGCATGGAAGAGGGCATATCCCCAGAGTGACCATGGTGCGTTGGCGTGACTGAGGAGGCAGCGAGCGATCTGAACCAAGGTGTGGTTGCGGCTCTCTGCAATGCCGTTCTGCTGCGGGCTTTCGGGGAGCGTGAAGGTTTGCCGAATCCCTTGGGCCGCACAGAAGTTATCGAGTTTGCCATTGCGAAATTCTCCCCCGCCATCAGAATGGAGGCACTTCAGAGGAGTGCCGAATGTGACTTGAACCTGGCGCACCCACGCCATGATGACATCAGGTGCCTCCGCCTTGGTATGCAGGAGGTGCACAGAAACATTCCGCGAGTGGTCATCGACTAGTGTAAGAAAGTACCGATGACCGCCTCGGGATGCGACTGGAGCTGGGCCCCAGACATCCATGTGCACTAGGTCCAGCGGAGCAGCTGCGACGGATGGGGAGGACGGGTGCGGCTGCTGCCTGAGCTTGCTCTTGGTGCAGTCCAGGCAGGTGGGTGCAGGTGAGTCTGTTGGTGGAGGAAGCGCCGACGGGAGGCCAAGAAGAAGTTTCTTGGAAGCGATGTCGACAAGTGTACGGAAGTTGGGGTGACCCAAGCGATGGTGGTAGAGAATGGTTGGGTTGGCGAAGCTGCGACACGAACACGGAGTGGTGCTGGCAGCTTGCGCTTGGGAGAGGGCGGCGAGAGGTGCAGGTGAACGCATCGTATAGAGCTTGCTGCTGTTGAGTGTGAAGCGTGCTAGGAGCTTGTTGGACTTAGGGTCGTGGAGGTCACAGTGATCCGAGTGTGCTGGGAAGATCGTGGTGACGCCTGCCCGTTGGAGCTCGTGTTGGGCCACGAGATTGTGGCGTAGTGTGGGAACACACATGCCGGTCACACTGCCCGAAGGAAAAGCTGGGCACGGAACTGTGGAGGAGCCCTTGGCGTGTGTTGTGAAACTGGAGTCTGCTCCTTGTAGACGGATTGGTGTCTCGTATAGCTTGAAGAAGTGTTCTTCCTTGAGAACCGTGTGAGTGGCCCCACTGTCGAGGGTGAACTCTATTGTGGCTGAGGTGCTTTGTGAGCCGGGACACTGCGAAATTGTCTCATTAATCATGGCAGTGCCAGGGAACAACATGTGGAGGCGCACATCAGCAGTGGAGGCGCACATCAGCAGTGGGAGCGACAGCAGCCTGCACGGATTCCTGCGCTTCGACTTGATTGACCTTGCGAGGAGCACGATTGACCATCCAGCTTGGCGGCTTCGAGGCGGTCCCATTGACGGCATACCAATCGTCATCCTTTTTCTTGAAGCAGGAGCCAAGGGCGTGGTTGGTGCCGCCACACACCTGGTGTTGGTTAGAGAAGGCTATAAGCAGATGATTCAATGGCTCCTTGGAAATTTCTGCAGCACTTCGTTATGATGCCCAGAAAACTCGCGACCTTCGAAAAGCTATATCCAAAACTCCAATCCGTGAAACGATCTGAAAATCAGATATATTGTAGCTTGCAGCGTCAGCGTTTCTGTAAAGTTGAATCACTCGATTCCGTAGCTAAATGAGCGAGCTATGGCGTTTGGCGCACTGGGGGGTAATCTGCCCTAGGGGAAGTTGACAATCCTCAGAGTCACTATGATTGAAGCTTACAAGTTCAAAGGCATGATAGAAAAAGCATTGAAGCACAGTTGGAAGGTAGGGATGGAAGGGAAGGATGAAAGGGAAGGACCCTGGAGGCCCATGGTCAAGAACATGACAAGAGTCAAAGTCTTGACTCCCCATCCTCAGGTTCAGCCAGCCTGGCAAGACAAAATTCACACTGTACCAGGTTGGCCTCCAAACCCCAAATGCTGCAGCTGCAGGGTGGGGACAAAAGTCCCACACATGCTGGTCCCTCCTCGTTATAGGGCTCTCCAACTTTGGTGTAGCAGCTGACAAGGACTTCCAATGAGTTGTAACAAATCCATCAAACATTTCTTCGTAACTTTTTCATATGTGCTCCGATTCCAACAATTCTTGGCTCGTTGGAATGTGCTCAATGTCATGCACAATCCAAGCACATCTGCACAAGCACAAGATGAACATGCAAAGACATGCAAACCCAACAAACCATACAAACAATGTAGCACACAAAACACATGCAACGAAATGATGCGAACAGACGACAGGATGATGTGCAAACGAATATGCACCAACACACTCCCCCTCAGACTGTCGGCTTGTTTCGCCGTCTCTAGTTCAAGGACATTCCCGCCATCCTCGCACAGCGCCAGTGTGGCTCTTCAGCTAGCCGCTTGGTAAGGAAGTCGGCTGGCTGTTGCTGAGTTTTCACGTAGATCGGATCCAGTGTCCCAAGCTTCACCTCCTTCCGCAGCCAATGCCACTTGATCTTTATGTGCTTGTTCAACCCATGAAGAACTGCATTGCGTGCCATGGCAATGGCTCCCTTGCTGTCACTGAACAGAGGTGTCGCACAAGTCTGTTCATGGCCGATCTCCTTCAAGAGCCTCCTTAGCCAAATGATTTCTTTTGCCGCATGAAATATTGCCATGGACTCAGATTCCACTGAAGATAGTGCCGTTTCAGACTGCTTCTTGGACCTCCAACTTACAGGCCCACCTCCCACCATGCAGATGTATCCACCTACTGATGATGAATCCTCATGCTCAGAAGCCCACGTGGCATCAGCAAAACAGGAAAGGAACACCTTTTCTTCTCCGAGCTGCTCCCCCTTCTCTTGAAGGACTTCAACTCCTTTCTGCCTGAGTTGAGCAGAGGCTGAATACTGTACTCCCACTGTAGGGTATGACTTGAGGTAGCGCACCACTCTCTCCGCTGCACCACACTGCTCTTCTGTTGGATTTTGCACTACTCGAGCCAGCTGTTCTACAGCAAAGCTGATGTCAGGCCGAGTATGCACAGCAGCGTAGAGTAGGCTCCCGACCATGGATTGGAATTGCCTCTGGTCTTCACTTTCAACTCCTTCTCCTTCAGTTGCCTTTATGAGTTTGAACTCGGAAGGCAAAGGTGTAACCACTTCCCGTTCTTCCTGCAGAGAGTACTTCTCAGCCAAGGTGTTGATGTACTGTCCCTGATGCAGTTTGAGCCAGCCACGTTCAGTATCCCGCTCAATGTGCATTCCCAGGTAGTACCTTGCCTCTCCAAGTGACTTGCACTTGAACTGCTCTGTGAGCTTCCGCTGCACCCCATCGATCTCCTTGTCACTGCTGCTGAAGAGCAGGATGTCATCCACGTACACCAGCAGAAGCACAAGCGACTCCCCCTCGCCCATCAGGAATAGGCTTTCGTCGCATGCATTCGCACGGAATCCAATCCCTTCCAGTGCACTGGCCAGCCTGTTGTACCAGCATCTCGGGGCCTGCTTCAAGCCATAGATGGCCTTGTTAAGTTTGCAGACACGACCGGTTCCATCCTCATAGCCAGGTGGTTGAACCATGTACACCTCCTCTTCCACAATGCCGTACAGAAAAGCGGTTACGATGTCCATCTGCTTCACCTTCCATTTGCGCACAGCAGCTACCGCCAGCAGCACACGTAGCGTTGGAGACTTAGCAGTTGGGGCAAACACTTCTTTGTAATCTTCCTTCTCTTTCTGCTGAAACCCCTTTGCCACCAGCCTGCTCTTGTAAACTGATGGCTCTCCTTTCTCATCCGTCTTGATTTTTGCCAGCCACTTGCACTGTATTGCCTTCTTCCCATTTGGCAAGTACACCAGGTCCCATGTGTGATTCTCCATCTGGCTGTTGTACTCTGCATCTCTTGAAACGAGCCACTTCCCCCGTTGAGGCCCGGCTAGCGCATGATCCATGCTCGGAGGTTGTATTGGTGCGTAAAAGCAGTATACAGGCTCCTCGTCATCCGACTCTTGGTCATCACCCAAGAACAGCACTGTATCTTCGCCTTGAGCCTGTTCCTGCTGCTCAGTTGTGGCTCCTTCACTTGTAGAGCTCAGCAGCTTTCTTGTTGCCATTCTGGTACGTGCAGGGTAGATGGTTGGATTTACCCATTCTTTCACCTTCACCCAATCCTTTCTCCCCCCACCAATCTGTTTCCTTCGCTTTGGCAGACTTGGTGTTTTGGAAGCCTCTTGTTGCTGCTGCTCCGGATCCTTGACTTCAGCATCAGCTGCAATATCCTCATTGCTTCCTTCATCAGTACCGCTTGCCGTTGGCGCAGTGACTTCGCTGTCCTCAGGTTCGGACAAATCGAAGTGCATAGTGATCTCTTCCAGCTGCTGGGTGACCCTTGCCTCCGGCTGCTTCTCCCACTTGCCATACATGATGTTCTCCACAAATTTGACATCCCGACTGTCAAACAGCACATTCTTCGAGGGCTCCCAGAGTAGCCACCCCTTGCTCTCTGCCGCAAGCCCAAGGTGCACACACCACAGTGCAGATGCTCCAAGCTTTGTCCTGTACGGTTTAGGGACATGCGCCACTGCCATGCATCCGAACACTCTGAGCATGTCCACTGGAGGCTTCTTTCCAAGCCACCTCTCCAGCGGCACCCACATATCATCAGCTACCTTTGTGAGTACGCGGTTCCTTGCCACTGTAGCATGCCTCACCGCATGAGGCCACATGGAGTTCCCCAGCCCTGATTCGATCAGCAGCGCTCGCGCAGTTTCCAGGATGGTCCTATTAGCCCTCTCAGCAACGCCATTTGACTGAGGGGTATAGGACATCGTTAGCTGATGCTCAATGCCTTGTTTCTTGAGCCACGCAGTCAGATCTCCTCCTAGAAACTCTCCACCTCGGTCGGTTCTGATGCTCTTGCATGGGTGCCCAGATTGTCGCTCGACGAACGGCAGCCAGTCATCTCGTATTGTTGAGGCAGCATGATCCTTCTGCTTCAACGGGTATGCCCACATCAGCCGACTCCAGTCATCAACTATTGTCAGGAAGTACCTTTCCCCCTTACTTCCTCGAACTGGAAAAGGTCCTACCAGGTCCATGTGCACCAGTTCCAGTGCTGCCTTGCTTTTCCCAGCTACGCCGTGAAAGGGGAACCGTGTGAACTTGCTCAGCAGACACGTCTCGCACTTGGTATCATTTGGTTGCCCAGAAAGCTTCAGCCCCTTTACTGCTTCTTCCTTATGCAGTTGCTGCAGCAATGGCATAGCCACATGCCCTAGACGCCTGTGTGCGGTTTCCCAATCAGTCTCCCCCGACCTTGCAGAAACCGTCACTCCTGCAGCACTAACTGCATTGCACTCCCCCTGGACTCCAGATCCCGCCTTTAATGCTCCCAACTCCTTCTTTGTTGATTCCCATATCAGTGCAGGGATCTGCCACATGGATCTGAAGACATCTCTGCTTTCGTGTTAATCCCATAACACACGATCTCCTCGCAGCCCCTTGAATGTTTTGGATCCATTGGTGGTGGTGCTGACTCCGGCCTGGCCTAGCTTGCGCAGCGATATCAGATTGGCCTTCAGCCCCGGTACGAGTAACACGTCCTTCAGCACAACCAGTCCACCATCAGGTGCTCTGAATGCAGCTCGACCAACTCCAGCGACCTTCACTGCATGTCCGGATGCTGAGCGCACTTCGGAGATTGGAGGCGCTCGCAAAGCATCCAGCAAGTCCTTGCGTGGTGTCATTGTCCATGCAGCACCAGAGTCCATGACCCACATGTCAAGCGGGTGCAGTTCCTCTCCAGCCCTTGCAACAGCTGTGCCACTGTCATCTTTGTCATACACATGGTAGAACTGTCCAGCATTCCTTTCCTCATTTCCCATTCCTCTGTCATCCTTGGAGGTTTCTTCAGCAGGATCAGCTACCATGTTGGCACCTCCATGTGGTTGCTTTCCTCCATTCCCCTTTTGCGATTGGTTCCAAGGGGTCCACCAGTCGGGCTTGGTAGAGCAGCGAAACCATGGATGCCCTTCTTCCTTGCAATACCAGCACTCTCCCCTCAAGCGTGGTTCACTGTTGTCATTGTTGGAGTGACCACCTCTTCCTCTTGCACCAGCGCCACCACGCCCCCGCTGGTTCCAAGTCCCGCGACCACCTTGGTTGTAGTAGGAGCGACCGCGATTGCCACGCCCTCGATCCCTCCATGTCCCTTGCATGGCATAGCCGCCGGTGCTGTCATCACCTCCGCGCAGTGTATAGCGACGAAAATCTTCTTCCAGAATCTTGGTGCGAATCCACTCCAATGTCCATTGATTTTGGTTTTGTGGCAAGCTGAGTCCGCTTATAAATTGCAGCCAAGACTCGGGCAGCAGGCTGAGCATCTTGAGACACTTAGTCTGCTCAGGGTACGTGATGCCTGCAGTCGCCAATTTCGCGTAGAGTTCCCTCATCTTGTCCAGTACGGGCTGCACAGGTTCATTCTCGCTCAACCGCAGCATGGACAGCTCCCGATCCAGCATGAGAGAAGCGGCAACCGATGTCGGAGCGTGCAGGTCCTTGAGCA